ACAGATGACGTGTGATAATACCAGTGCAGCTTGGGAGAATTTCATAGAGGAAATAAAAGCACAGTGTTGTATGTGGGCGGTGCAATATAATCAGCTTTAAAACTATCCAACCGGAGCGGTGCATAAAGGCATGCACATTAGCCTGCAGGGCTAGCAAAGCAGCACTGCTAATGTTCCTCACACTGCTAGTGCTGCCCCATTACTTGGTAATACTACAGTAATCAATATTATTTAACCGTGTGAATGTCAGTTAAGTAAACAACATTTAACTTCTTTTTACAGTTAACACTGAATGGAACGATGTTTGCTAACTGGGTATTAGTTGTTTGTAAACCAGTCTGGTGGTTGTTGGCAGGTTGCAACTGGTGTTTCTAAATGGTTAGTAAAGAGAGTGGTGCATCGAGAACCACCAGTATCTCGCCAGTCAAGGTGAATGTTGTTTACCCATGAATGCCACAAACCCACACTATCACTTTTATGAGATTCATGTTCTGTTTAATCTGCTTCACTATAGTTTCATGTCCACATTTGTGCATGCACACGCATGCACCATGTTTGAAATGCACATGTCAGTGGAGCGGCTTCATCGATCCATCATTGTCTCAGAGCACGAGAGGATCTTAAATTAGAGCCTCATCCAGATGCTCTAACACAGGGGTGTCCAACTCCAGGCCTGGAGGGCCGGTGTCCTGCAGGTTTTAGATCTCACCCTGGGTCAGCACACCTGATTAGTTCATTACCAGGCCTCTGGAGAACCTCAGGACATGTTGAGGAGGTCATTTAGCCATTTCAATCAGCAGTGATGGATCAAGGACACATCTAAAACCTGCAGGACCCTGACCCTCGAGGCCTGGTGCTGGACACCGTGGCTCTAACCTCTCCTCAGCCGTGCGTTTGCTGCTGAAATAGTGTCACTAGTGTTGTTTGTGGGGACAATGAAGACAGGCCTCCATGAGATCATTAAAGAGTCACATTATAATCAAGGTAAACATACTTTGCAGGTGATGATCTAAATAAACCCTCAACACCTCAGCTTCACAGATCTCGACAGAACAGGTTGCTGCTCTTTTTCTGCTAACAGGTTAATCAGGATGTCGTGTTGCATCAGTGTCTTTAATGTGCCTTGCGATGTTCTGTGTGGGTTATAGCAGTACTCACGTGTTGGCAGAGCGCTTACGTGTAGCCTGTCAAAATGAAAGCAGGAGTAATTGTAAGATTATTGTCTTTTTCCAGAGTAGAGGAGTTGGCACAAAAACAAAGGGGTAGGCAGACAATCAGGACTCACTGCATTCTGGTATGTGATGTAGGTAACTTCCTCCTCTGTAAAAAACAATACGAAACACAAATCATGCAACTATTACCTCAAAGTTACACCTCCAAATCTGATCAGAGGACAGAAACAGGAGAAGCAGAGTGAGCCTGAGAGCGAGCTGCTGGGGCTGACCTCTTCATACAGACCAGTTATCATCACTGCTGCTGTTTCCATAACACTAACTGATTCAAACTTCAAATTCACAACTATGAAGGGAAGAGAGTTACAGTTCACCACCAAATACCACAGTCTCCTGACTTTACCCAATCACCGTTTGTGTGTTTAAGATCGGAGCTAAATGAGCCCGATCCTTAGTATTCTTCACTCTGACTGAAACACTGATGGCTTCTACCTCAGGCTGCTTCCTACCTTCCTCTCTGTAGTAGGTCTTATCAGAGGACGTCTTCACTGAAGCCTGCTCCATCGCCTTTTCAAGCTTCCTCTCATACAGATGCCGAGTGGAGTCTGTGTTCACACAAAAACACTTCTTCAGTATGTGAACAAAGTACAGACACTTATTTAAATAAATGCTCAATGAATTAAAAGCAGTTTTTTGGTTCACATGACCCTTTGTAATGAATGATTTTAATGTCACGTGGATCCATTTTTATGATGTAGTGTAAGCAGTTTCCACATACTGTCCACATATACCAAGCCAGACCTGAC